AAGCAAAATATCCGTCATACAAAAGCATGGAGAATGCTCCCCATGAGAGCTCTAGGAGAATGTATGACAAACCTTTTAGCTTCTTTAATTCCTTTAGTCACCTCCTGAAGGTCTCTGGTACATATAGAAATCTGCAGAAAAGTGAAGAAAAGAAAGATAGGGTTATTAAAAAAAGAGCACCTAAAAAATCTAATAGTAATGGTCAGCACATGAACAATACAGAAAATATTAGTAGTAATATTAATAATGAAAATGTAGCTGCAGAAGTGCATTGCTTGTTTGATCGTATTTCTACTTCACATGTACCAGACATCCTAGACAAAGGCTTACAGGGTGAAATTTCCTTAAATAGAAATTTTCTGGAGGATTACGCAGTTACATGCGTCCATTCAAGGCAGAATGAAATAACAGTAAACATTGAAGACAGCAAGAGTGACAGCCTACAAAAAGTTTCAAGTTCACATAGAGAGATGTCTCCAACATTTTCCTATCTTGATGTAGACAACAGACAAAATACAAAAGATAGGGAGTTTTACAGTATTTGTGTTGTAAATGCTGAAGATCTGAAAGGGGATGAAGAGGTGCCAGCTACCATGCATGAAGAGACTGCATCAGACATAGATAACTCAGCTGTTACTGATGAAGGAATGTGCAGCATGGCACGACCTCTAGACACTGGGGAGGAATTTCCACTGCAGCAATTGGCACAAGTGGAAGCTAAGTTTAATTCACAGAAAGAACTGTTTGAGTATAAAAAAGAGGATAGGTCAATCATGCAGAAAAAGGAAACAAAGGAATATTGTAGCATAGACATCCAATCTTCTTATGATAACTTACTGGCTGACAGGTGTCGGGTGCATAGGTTAGATACTGATAATACAGTAACAGATGGCTTAAGAGTGAAAGTATACGATGAAGTCGTTCCTGAGAGTCTACGAGAGGAGGTATATACCATAGGTAATGCTGTCAGTTGGAATGAATCACTCCATAGAGCTTGTGATCCTGTAAAATTTGCAGATGCTGCTGAAGAGGACCGATACAGCCCTAATTCAGAAAACATGAAACACAGTGGTTGTGTTTCCAGTATATTATTAGACACTGGAGTATGTAATTCAGGAAAAATTAAGGGAAGTCATGAGATTGTACCATTTGCTTTAAGTAGGCATCCCTCAAGTGTTGTAAGGGAAATAAATACTAAACAGGGGGTAGAGAACATGAGGGGTAACTTTAAATTATCGTTAGAGTTACATGAAATGGACAATGATTCTTCTTTGGCGAGTCAACATGTAGAAAAACTTGCTGAAGAAGGCTGCTTCCTAAAGCCAGAAAGTGAAGTAAACTCAAGTGTGGAAAAGAGAACATTTCAAAGACTGTATGGTGATAGCCAAACGTTTGCAGCTGACTGTAGTGAACATCATAGTGATTTGGAAGAATTCTTGAAAGTTAAAGAGAAATGCACAGGTACAGTTTTGCATAGCTGTGAAGCTTTGAATATGACTGAAATGCACGAAAACTTGGAAGAAGGTTCTGATTTTCAAACTCAAATTAAGGGTAGCACTGAAAACAAGATAACTGAAGTTGCAAACCATAGTGGCATGGAGGAAGATGTCTGTGTGAGTATCATCAGGCTAAAAGGCGACATGCTTGAGGAAGCTGATCGCTTGAGCAGAACTCGATCATGGGTAAGTGATGGCACTTTGACATCTTATGAACTACATAACACAAGCGCAGATGAAATATTCCTAAAGGAAAACAGCCTAGAATTTCAGATTTCACAAGAGTCACCAGGGAATAAAGGTAAAATATGCAAATATTCAAACTCAGATAACAAAAACAGTGTCTCTTTTGTGTCTGTGGAACATGAGGATATGAATAAAATGGTCATGAACTGTAGACAAGATGAGCAACAGGATGTATGTTCCTTCCATGCAGAGGAAAATCAATGGAATGCAGGGACTGACTTAGCCAAAATAGCTGAGGATGTAGTAGAATCTGTAAAACATACAAAATTTGAAGTTCACCTAAATGAGACAATTGATAACAAGACAGAAAATGTAAAACAGAATTTGGATGCTAATATTGTTGATTGTGATAAAAACATTTTAAATTGCAATAAAGGCTTGACTCACGATCAGAATACTTACTGTAATTCCGCTGTACCTGTAGCTTTGGACAATTGTATGTATACAAGTGTTAAATTGATAGATGACACAAAAAATCTGGAAGATGCCAGTAATCTCTTACATAAAGCCCATAAATGTTTACCTTCATTGTGTCAAAATTCATATTCTCATGTGCGTGATAAAACAGTGGAAGAGCCTGAGTTACATCACTGTGCCAGTCCAGAGCCGGAGGTCGGGAACACCCAAGTTTCTGCTGGGCCTTTTACTGAAGTAGGATCAGAAACTCATGAAAAAAGTGTGTGTGATGTAAATGAATGTAATCTTCAGGATGGTGAAGTAAAACAGTGTGTCAGCGTCCATTCAAAGGAGGACAACCTCACTGGTTTTACTATGTCAGCTGGGAATCTAGAAGCTTTTACCATGGGGAATTTAAAGCAGTTAGAAGCCAACACTACTGAACTGAAAAACACCAGTTACGTATTAAATACTCAAATGAATGACTTGACCACAAGTTGGGAACACATGCAGCCAGATCACAAGATTTTCTCAAACAAAGAGCTTGGAGTTTTTGTTGACCTAAAGCAGGTAGACAAATATGCTGCTACTCCTTCCTATGAAATACACAGTGCCTCTCCTGGTGCCACAGGATTTCAGCGAGGCAGTGAGCGTTGTGTATTACCTCTGATGGAAGATGTATCGAGTGACCAAGAGCGCTCCTATGAACTGGACAGACAAAATCCTCAAGTTGAAATATGGTCACATTTCATCAGTCTTCAGACTGGCAATGCTGATTGGACAAATCAGCTGTTTTCTGACACTGTTACTGCTAGTAACGGTGAATATCTGATGAGCTTTTTATGGAATAATACAATTTCTAACAATACTGTGAAGAATGACAGACTATGTATAGTTAGTGAAAACTTCCAGAACGAACCTGAAGATTTAACAGGTGCTTCATATGCGGTGGAAGGATACCCGTATCAGCTGCTAGCACCAGAAAATGTTGGTACTTGGGGATGGCAAGATAAAGACGAATTTGTAAGTATTCTGCAGAAGTGATTTGATGTTAAAGCTTAAAGCTGAAGCTAGGAATTGGAATAAGCCAAGTCAAACTGTGGTTTCATTAGAGAGTTAAATATATCATATGTTATTTTGTCCTGAAGCCGACCACTCTTTCTTCTGCAAAACCGAATGCTATACAGAACGTAGTAGTTCAAAATGTTGCTGAATATTGATTTTTTTTTTTTTTTTTGGTTCTGTTTACCTTGTGTGAAAGTTTAAATGTTGGGTAGAGTATCTTGATTGCAGATTCTCAATTCTAGATGAACTTGAGATGAACACTTCAGTATGTGGAAGGGAAACTTTCTACAGACTGTTAATAGTGCTCTTTACCCTCATATAGGAAGAAATGTTTGTGGATTTCCTGAAATCTTAAAGTTCTTGCTTGGTAGCAATTAGGAAACCTTTTGCTCACTTCCGGAGATGATCTTCTGAAGTGCTGTAGAAAGGAGTGGCTGCAGGAGAAGCGTGGGGAATGAGCTAGACTGGATCTTGGCTAGCTGGGGTAAGAAAGAAACAAAGCCGACCTGCGGCAGCTGCTGCTCCTCTTCCTTCCCCGCTGGGCAGAGCCAGCGCTTAGTATTGTTCTCCGCACCAACTGCATCACAGCAGCTGCTCTGACCTTGCCCAGCAGTTGCAGTGCCAGCAGTGGATTGTACTAGAGGCTATCTCCTGGGAGAACTTTCTGTATTAAAAATGGAAACTGATGGAACTTGCCGTCATCTTTGAATCCTTACTATTCAAGTAGTTATGTCAAACACTTCTACTTTTTATAAGTCTTTTCTCTGTCGTTTGGTAGATGTGTTTAAGTTGAGATTCCTTCCTTGTGGATGTGTTTTCTATGCCCTATGATAATGACTGTCTGAGTGTACATGTTTCAGAGTAAATTTACACCCTTAAATTTACAAAACAAGTTTTAATAAGCTTTTCTAGTATGTGTTATCATGAGCAATACTATTTTCCAGTATAATCGTCATATTAAAACACACCAAAGATATTCTGGGTATGGAATAACTTGATACATTTGCTCAAACATCAGCAAAACAAGAGAAAACTGTCTCATGTTACTATCAAAGCGGTATTGTAAATGTTAGCACTGCAGAGAGCAATCTGTCTGAAACACAAATATAACCATTTATATAATAGCTATATAAAACCATATATGACCATTAAATGTGTCGATTTCCAAACCAGGTTAAAGGAAATTGGCCTAAGATGATTTACGTGGATCTGGTAATTCGTTCTTTTTGCCCTGCCTAGGGGAAAACTAACCTAAAAAACTCTGTTTTTTCTCTTGAAGTAACGACAGAAGTTGTCACACACATCTCATTGCTTTCAATTTTCCATAATGCTTCCTTAAAACTGTTATGTTTTTATATAAGTCTGAAAAAAAACCCCTGTGTTTTTCTATTTTCTTAATTTTTTTATATTATTTCACAGAAAGATAGAATAACAATATAATCAACATTGAGTTAACATGTATGTTGGAGAACTTCCTGGAGTCTAGGGCAAGCACAGGTTGAGTTAGTCCGTCAAAGATGAAGAATGAAATGTTTGTTGTAGTTTACTCTGCTTGGCTAGCCTTTTCTGGTGATTCCTAATCAGGGAAATGAATTATGTGCTGCACAATTCAGTCGTTTTTGTACCTGAAACAATTATGGGATGGCAATTCAGTTAATACATTCAGATATGAAAAAAGCTTGACGATACAATCTTGAGTTGTACATCTGATACTGTTATTTGAAACTGTACATATATACGCACAGATGCGTGCTGTGCATCCACAAAATGCATAATCAAAGAAATTTCTTTTTGTAGGAGTCAACCAAAGTTTCTGAGTTAAATCCTAATGCAAAGGTGTGGGGAAATCATATGTTACACTTGGAAGCAAGTGGTGCCACTGATCAAAACGTGAGCAAAACGTGGGAAGAAATACCTGACCAACCTCCAGATTCTTGTAAAGAAGGTATGAGTAAGAATTACTGGTCAAGCAAAAGGTAAAATTAAGTGCAGACCCTTCTCAATTTTAATTTCCTGTTACAAAAATGAATGCAAATATGCAAGTCACTTTACTTCAGATTTAGTTTTAACTATGATGTTACTGTGATTAGAAGGAATGCTTTTTGAGTGTGTTTGTCATCTCTGCTGCAGGACTGGATGCCAATGGTGATGGCGACAAAAAGCATCAGAATGCAGTGCTGACAGAGCTGCAGGAGCCGTCACCAGCTGTTTCGGTGTCAGACCAGACAGATATGAACCCTTTGGCTCTCGATCATTCGGAGTATGAGTCTATGCATGAAACCACCCAGACAGGTAAGAGAAAGCTGATATTTGCTTGGAGTTGGTTTAAAAAAAGAAAACATATTTTGAGTTGAACAGTGAGCATCCATTAAAAAAAAAAAAACACAAACCAAAAAACCCACACCACTTTCATTGTTCAATATATGCATTCTGTAAACAGACCCCAGAAAATCCTGTCTCTTTTGCTCTCAGGCTTAGACATACTTGGAAACTAGTCTCCTCCTGTTTGAGTATAGGCCTTATGAGATACCGCACAGAATTGATCATGAGTTCTGGATATAACCGAGTATTGTTTTCTGAAATGTTATTCTGAATGCAAGTACCTAGTGTAGACGTTTACATTTAGATATCTGCCTGTCTAAGCTGCATGTTTCTAGTTGGGTCAGGTACTGAGGTGAAATTCACATACCATTTGTGTCTGAGGTAGTAATATTAATATATTGAAAGATCAGTCTTGTAAAATGCTAAAATAAGCAACAATTTAGTCGTCTTCTTTGCATTCTTTTTAAGTGAACTCTCATGCTTTTTTTTCAGTGTAACTGTTAGTAGCTGTAGTCTATAGCAGATGGCATGTTTTAAGAAACTTCTGGAAACTAGCATAGAAATTCAGCCATGCTTATATTTCACTGAAAGGGACAGAAGGTCTGCAGGATGCATGTAGGATTACTACTTGAACTGAGATGAGGGATGGGAAAGAGAGGAAAATGTGCTGGGTGTTTCTTGAGGTTCATGAGAGGTCTGCTCCTTGTTCATTGCGCTTAGCTGATTTTATAACATGTATTTAAAATGACCAGTATAGCCTCCATAATAGTTGGGAATCAAGACAACTGGAATCAGACACAGTTGTGGCATCATCCTTGCTTGTGTTGAAAACTGAAAGTTCTCTTTGATTTTCTGCTTAAGGGTGCTATTAGGGAATATTAAATAATAACTAACTGGCAAATAGAAAATTATATTAATGGTGCCTAGCACTCTAGAAGGGAACAGTGTTCCTCAGCTTAATGTTAGAACTTGTTGGCATGTCCTTTACATGCCCGAAATAGTTAACTTTTAACAAGAGTCAAATAATGTTGCAAAGCAGCTGAACAGCAGGTAGGATCTACACCACTTGATGGAATAGTAACATAGGTGGTCCCAAGTCTGAAATCTGATTTTTATTTTTTTAATTATTATTTTTAAAAAATGCATATAATTTTGGTCTTTGCTAGGTTTTGGGAAAGGAAGAAAGAGGAGATGGGGAAGGGAAATAATGGTTAGTACGTGATATGTGTATTTCTCAAGTGTTGACATTATCTATATCAGAATAGAACACATGAAGGACAAAACGGTGGGAGGAAATTAGAAGTTGCTTTAGGAAGAAGAAAGGTTAAGGAGAGCTGAAGAAAAGGATGAAAGTTACTGAAGAAGGGGAGGATATAGAGGGTAATAGTTGGTGTGAAATACTTTTTAAAAAAACTAATTTACATTTATGTAACGTTATGTAACATTACTAAATGTTTTGTAAATCTCTAAAAGAGCCACACTAAACTTGTGATCTTTAAACAGTTCTCCCACTGACACAATTAGTTTACTCTCAACTGACTGTAGTATACTGGGTCTAAACTAAAATGAACATGAAATCAGTGTTTTCCATGTGATAATTTTGAAACTTTCAGGTATAAGAAACAATTAATTTCTCCTTAACCAAGAGATCGTTAATTGATCACACATCTGTTGTTAATTGATTGGATATCTGCTGATATTTCATAATTACGTTTTTGAAACTCTCTTTTCTGAGTTAGTGTGCTGGGAATTTAGAGTGAGGCCAGAAGTACGAAGTGCCTCCATTACATTGCTCACTTGCTCTATTAGTCAACTGCATTAGTCAGGGTTTAGTCAGCTCGAAATTGGTTAGTTTCCTAAGACTGGAAGACAGACGTACGAGCTAAATCAGTTCAGTACTTTGAGATGTGTTTGTAGCTGCTCTTCTAAAATTTTTATGTATTTGGAGAACAGAGGTTAACAAGTGAAGTCAGATACAGGGGGTTTTTTGTCTTAAAAAGTGTTCCTGGGCAATTTTGGTGGGTGGTGAACTAATACACAATGAACATTTATTGAATTTGAAAATTTGTTACTAGTTATACAGCCAGTAATAGACATGATGGCTTGATTAAAATATCTATTGTGTAATATAGCAGAACTAAATTTAAACTTAAGTATTTTAATTATTAGGTGGAAATGAACAGTTGCAGCCAGAAGGTCAGGAAGATTTACGAGAATTACTGAAAAAAACACTGGAATTCTGCTTATCTAGGTATGTATATACCTAAATGTCGCAAACTGGAGGGTAACTAACAAGATGCAGTTACCTAACTTGGGATGTATGTTAACGTATTTCACAGCTGTCACTTAAAACCAAGTGGAAAGTATGAGAATTTGGGGAAAGTAACACACAAATTCGAAAGTATTGTATTGAGGTACCTCTTAAAGCTTATGTGAAACTTCTGGGCCTAAAACATAAACTAGCAAATACATTGTTTCGAAGTGAGAGTAGTTACAAGCAATTACAGATCAGGTGAATTTTTGACTTACTGGTTTTTGGCAAATTAAAACTGAGTAGCTTAAGCCATTTGCTAAGCTTTGTTTAAGCCAATAATTTTTAAATTTGCATTGATACAAACTAGCATTTTTGTATGTGCATCTGTAGATCCCTTTATATTTTAAGTTAAGGATCAATTTAAAAAAGGAAAAAAAAATAGATTAAGGGCTCTAAATCATACACATTCCACTAGAGACTGATGCAAGATCATCAAAGCAGTTTACTTGTACTTAATTATTCTCAGTGCTTGTGTCTAGATAAAAACATCCTAAACACGTCTTAATAACCTAGAACAATTCCTAATCTGAGTACTCCTGCATAACCAGTCACAGTCAGTTTATTTAAGTAATAAACTCCTAACAGTATTACATAGTTGTGGGGGTAATGTGCTGCCTGAACAGGAAGATGCCGATACTCTTATATGAAGGAAGAAAAAGACAATTTCATGTTTTCTAGGAAGTGAAATATAGTAGGTGAATGGAACGGGGAGTTGGTGAAAATGCTGAAAACAAAAACTATGTGATGAGTTTTTGTCTCAAGTTTATTGGCAGAAGTTACATCTGTGACATCTCCCCATTTTTTTTTTTCTCTCCCAACAGAGAAAATCTTGCCAGTGACATGTACCTTATATCACAGATGGACAGTGATCAGTATGTGCCAATAATGACAGTAGCAAACCTTGATCATGTCAAGAAACTCAGTACTGATATGGATTTGATTGTTGAAGTGCTGAGATGTAAGTAAAAATCCCTCAGTGTTAGAAAGCATTTTGGTTATTGCCATAGGACTGTTAATCTGGATTTTCGATCTCTCTTCCTTTTTTTGTTATGTATCACAATAAAATGCCGTCCTTTTTCTGTAAAGCATTAAATAGAGCAAGCAGTTTCCAGTTTTAGACCATCACAGTTACAGGACTGCAGTTTTATCAAAACTACTCCACATTTGAGGTATTGAGTAATGATCTGTGTAAATGAGAATAATGTGAGTTTAAATTCTCAGAAAAGGCTGCTGGGTGTTACCAGTAAGGTAAGAATCAAAAAAGAACATGACTCAATGTGTGCCTTAGAAGTAAAAGCTAATGAATTGGGATTTTCTAGGCTGGAAGAGTAGGAAGAGTGGGGAGATTTTAAGGAACATGTCTACTCAGTTTCACATGTCTGAAAGTATCTTCAGTCATCTTCTGCTTTTTTCTTAATGTTCAAAAATAATTGAAGTTTAGCACAAAAAGCTTTGCATTGTAAAACTGTGTCCACAGAATCTTTTGGTGTGCAAAGCTATTATGATTGCTGACAGCTAAAATACATTTTTGTCTTTTCTCTCTTAGCGTTGCCTTTAGTCCAAGTGGATGAGAAGGGGGAAAAAGTTAGGCCAAATCAGAATCGCTGTATTGTGATTTTACGTGAAGTACCTGAATCTACCCCCATTGAAGTAAGTGTTTAATTGTTCAGTAAAGAACGCTTCTCCCTTAGGATTTGGAAGTTAGATTTCTTCCAGATTTCAATAAGCATATCACATTTCTTACTACATTGTTTGTTAGTTTCTAACAATGTTTCTAAACCTTAGTTTATTGTGTCTGTTTGGGTAATAAATATACTTGATAGAAGCATGTCGCTCATAGGAAGACTGCGGTAAAACCTGTAGCTCTGCAGAGGGCTGAAAAACTGACAATGCTGTGTTTGGTAGAGATACAGTAATTTTCTTGGACTCTGGCTTATCCATATGCACTTAACGCTCAGCTCCTTGGATAAATAGCAAATGAAGATGAGGGAAGGTAAGTCTTAGAATGGAAAATGCCACTGCTGCACCTTGAAGCTTGTTAGGGTAAAGTACTTAAAGCTTTGCAAACATTTCCATAATGCCGACGGTAGAGGTGTCAACAAGTCCCTAAGGATCTCCGCTGGCTTGTGGAATGAGTGCGAGAGTGGAGAACTTCATTTTTTGAAAGGTATTTAGTGCAACTCTGATGTAGCTGGGACTATGACAAATGGAAAGACTAGAAAAAAATGTTTGGGCCATAGATTAAACCATCTTGAATTTTCAAAAAGGAGAAGGCACAGATTCTTGATGATGGGGATATATTTTAATTTCCCCTCTATTTAATTTTACAAGGAAGAATAAAAATTCTGCAAGAATTGCTGCTCTTGATAGTATTCATACAAAAATAAAAAGTACTGCAGATTAAAAATTATAATAAAGAAGTAAGTGGCCTTAGTAAACAGGAGCATGAAACAAAATGCTAAAGAATTGAAGGGAAGAAGTTAGATATGCTATATACGTAGCTTAAAAATACCAGCTGCTTTTAGCTTTCTAAATGAAATGTAACTTTTCAAAGACTGCCTAGCTTTTAATATTATTGGGTTGGGTTTTTTTTTTTTTGCTGTCATCTGTCAGGTTGGATACATTAGCACTGGGTGGTTGCTCTTAAATGCTTAAGAACAACAAAGTTCTGAGGAGCCTTTATTTTCAAAAGAGGTGGTCTGAAGTGAAGTGTTTTATACATTATGTGTTTAAATTTGCCAGACTGGAAAATCTGTACTTAACCCAACAGATTTAATAGAATACGTTTTCTGGCGTAGCATAGTCAGGCTTTATTTAAGCAGCAAAGTTCCAAAATACTGTAAGGCCTCCTAAGTTGCATTGCTTTTTGATGCTGCTCGCCTGAACTCTGTGACAAAAATAAATAATATGCAAATGGATTAAAACAAATACAAAGTCCCAGGTGTGTGTTTTCCAAGGTGTAGAAACTAGCTGATTGTTTTTGAGGTAAACCCGGTTTCAAAGATATTAATCTGTAGATACTTGAGATAAAGTGTTATCTCCAGGTTTCTGCTGAAAAGGCGGGGTTCGCCTATCCCATGCAGTATGCACAGGTTTGTGTGGCTCTGGTTTTGGGGACAGGGGAGAAATAGACATTCTTCTGCACTTGATGCCAAATTTAAGTGTCTCTCTATGGCCTAAATAGTTTATCTCCCCTGATTTAAAGGGAGCAGGAAACTTCTACTTGCAGTATGGCCTTAGATGATGCTTGTTTGAATTCCTTCTAGCTAGTGGGGAGACTGGAGAGAGCTAACACTACTGCAGGTGTTCTGAAGTTCTCAGTTCTGTTTTGTAAGCCCCAAAGTGCTTTTTATCTATCTTACCTGGAGTTCCAGAGTTCTGCACTTTAAATTGATGTTTTCTTCTGTCCATCCATTTTTTTTTTTGTTTCCTCCCACCCTTTTCTCTCCCTTCTTATCAAAACCACTTTCCTTAGGAGGTTGAAGCACTTTTCAAAGGAGATAATCTGCCTAAGTTTATCAACTGTGAGTTTGCCTATAATGACAATTGGTTCATCACGTTTGAATCAGAAGCCGATGCGCAGCAGGTAACACTATTTTTTTGAAGTATTTTAGAATGTAACAGTAAATGAGGGTGGATTGATGGGTCGTAAACTGTATTACAAATGTGTAACAATTTAAAAAGAAAAATACCCAAACCTCTAAAACCAATAATGCTTCCCCTTAGCTAATACCCAGTTATCAATACTATTAAACATAACCCTGTAAGAGTTTTATCTTAGTCGCATATCCTGGCTTCCTGGCCAAAGCTATAGTTTTTTGTACTAAGAACATTGATATTTTGGATGACACATTGAAATGCTTCAGTCGTAAGACTTAAAATCTTGTTTTAATGGTACTGAAGCGTTTCTGCAATAACTTAAATCTTGCCGAATGCAGATTACATATGAGGGTTTTCTATAGTCTAACATTAGCAGACACTTCAAGAATTATTGTTAGGCTTAGCCTGTCAAAATTTAAGTTTCCTTTGTTTAAATTATATTTGAAAAATTTTATAATTACTTTTTTAAAGGCTTACAGATACCTTAGAGAAGAAGTGAAAACTTTCCAAGGAAAACCGATTAAGGTAAATAGTTTTATGGGTTTTTGGGGGCATGTGTGTATATGTTCTGTTTTTTGTGGTGCTCACTGTGTTTTCTAGTATAAATTTAAGTGGTCCAGTCTCAGCAGCCATTTGACCTGGAGATAGATTTTGAAATGTAGCACATGCCATTTTACCTTTCCTTTTCCTCCTTTCTGGCAGTGGTATATCCATCCCAGCATCAGGCCAGCAGGGAAGCATTCAGCTGTTCCTGCCTTCCTTGATGGAGAAAGCAGTGACTGACAAGTGTCCAGTAAAAATTTGAGAGCTGCTAGTTTGAACCATCCTGATTTAATTTGAAAGGCTGCTGTAATAAATCATCTAATCTCCTTTGCAGGCAAGGATAAAAGCAAAGGCAATAGCTATAAACACATTTTTGCCAAAGAATGGATATAGACCTCTGGATATGAACCTCTACACGCAGCAGCGTTACACAACATCCTTTTACTTACCTCCAGTATACAGTCCCCATCAGCAGTTTCCATTGTACAGCTTAATTGGCCCACAGACCTGGTCAGCCACGCACAGCTACCTTGACCCTTCATTGGTAAGTCTCTTGATTATGAAATGGCTGCATTATTTTCAAAGTTGATATTATTTTCTTATGAAGTCTTGAGGCATAGGAAGCATATGTATCCTGAAGAGGGGAGTTTAAGATACTGATTCTTCTTGAAAAACAGTTCTTCAAAATTCTGGTGTACAAGACTAATAATTTGAAAATTGCATCTGGTCTCAGACTGCAGTGTGATTCTCTTCTTAACCTTTTAGTTTTTGAGGCAGTTCTTTACTAAAGATTAGTAATTAACCATTACCAAAAGAAACCTTCACTAAAGACTTCATCCTGCAATGCTGCTTCCATCTTTTCTTCCATTGTGACAGTCCCATCGGAACTACCTTGGTCCCTTTTACTCTGCCTTTTGTTATCCTACAAAAACTAGTATGAATACAGTTTTCTGTAATAACTGGGAGACTAAGGTTGTCCTATGAGGAACCTCCTCCTCCCCTCTGTAAATGCCTCTTTACTTGCGGCTAAAAGAAACTAGGGTAGCAGTGCTCAAAATTAGAAGCTTTTTAGAGGTTTTTTTTGGCAGAGGATTAAAGTGTCCTCGAACAAACTTGAGCAAACTTCCTGTGTACTGAACAGCAAGCTAATTAAAAAGTTGGTGTGCTAAACACTTCACACACAGGGAAGGTAGCCAGAGCCCTTGCGGGGGAAAGCTTTTTAAGGGGGATGAAGAATGCGAAGGAGACAAGGTAGCGTAGTGAATGATGTTATTCCAGGAGAAAGCGACCTTATTAAGCAGCAATGAATTCTTCCTCTAGATAAACTAAGATTGACTATTGCACAGTCTTGCTGTGGGATAATGAAGTAGTTGGATGGCACTGATGTAGAAGACATAGATTAATTGGCCACAGGTTCAAGCACAGCATAGTGTGTATCTGCCTATTGTCATCCTGGAACTTCTTGTATTCCAGAAAGCTTACTAGTCCTGGCCTTTAGGGGAAGACATTACAAGTTTGCCAGCATTAAAGATCTCATACTTTTCTTAGTAAAAACAGAAGATTAATTGGCAGAGCTTTGCCTCCCACTGTTTTGCAGCATATTGTCATTAGTTAGCTGCATTTTGTGTACATTAATGTAATATGATATTTCTTGAACCTTCTATAGGAAGAGCTATATTTGAATAGAAATTTCTTGTGAGGAGAACAGGGATCACGAGGAACAATGACACAGGAATAGTTTTCATGAGACAGGGTTGCACTTTGCATGTAGGGACTTGTGTGCAAATACAGCAGAAGTTTGTCTCCTCTTCTTCTTCGGCATAAACCCTAGCAGTGCTTTATCTCATCTCTAATTTGAGGTTAAATACACTCAGTAGTATGGGCATACGGTTTTAGTTCTGAAACTAGAATATGGCAACACATATCCTCAAAATTGTAAAGCTACTTACCACTTCATCAAGTACTTAATAGTATTTGAGGAAAAATCTAGTTTGTCCTGCTTGTGTTTTTTAAAAAAAAAAAAAAAAAAAAAGCAATGAGTTAAACTTGTTTTCCTTTAGTATGTTCAGTGTCTTCTCATTATTCAGGTTTAAAAAAAAAAAACAGAAAAAAGTGTGCTAGTGAGTTTGGAGAAATTACTATGAACATGTTTCAAATTTTGAGATATCTTTGTTAATACAAGACATTGATATGCACCCACCCCAAAAAAATCTTTTGCTAATGTTGCTTCTTAAGGCAGCAAGACAGTAATTCACATGTAGAGTAAGGTGGTAAGATACGAAAAGAATCAAAAGTTCACTTAACATTCACTTACTCACTAGGCTTTATTTAGGTGTCACATGGAAGATAAGTAGAAAGAGGAACTAAAAAGAATTTTTTTTCTTTTTAGGGAGAGATTCACTTATAAATTATAAGAAAAACAATTACAGGCTGTGTAGGTTAGAGACTCTGACGAAGAAGTATCTCTGTACTCTGAGGTCATGCATAGTATGGTGTGAAATAGAAGGAGCGTTACTTAACTTATGGCCAAGGTTTTTGGCTCGATGTTTTTCAATCCTCTTAACAAATTATCAGAACTTGAATATGTGTAGTGGCTGTCTTCTCAAAAACCAGCATTTTGTAAGCTGGTTACAAGGCACTGGACAAATGCTCCATTGCTGTTTTGAGCCAATCTTTTAAGTACTGCCCTGCATAGAATGACATAAAATATAGGGTTAGGAAAAAACAGTACTCAGTTTGTTTATAATTATGAGCATGCAATATATTCTTTAGGTAACACCATTTCCAAATACTGGATTTATCAATGGGTTCACATCTCCAACCTTTAAGCCTGCTGCTTCTCCATTGACTACGCTCAGACAATATCCTCCCAGGAACAGGTAAGTTCAACCATCTTTTAACAATATACATGCTATTTTATTATCTGGCATGTGGGGCTTTAATCTGCTTGTTTTAGTAACACCAGCTAACTTGAAAATACTTGTGAAATTGAACCTGGTGCAAGGTTAAGTGAGGCCAAAGGGCAGATGGTCCTGCTATTGTTAGTGGATATACTGTTTCTAAATGTAAATGGACTGTCTGAAAGCTGAGAACTTGTCTGTTCCATGATTTAGGGTATACAGATGAAATATTCTGAATGATGGCATGTGATCAGCAGGATTATTCATATAGTATTTTCAGTTTCAAGTAGTTTTTAGTAAAGCCATAGTTGAAAATAGACAGTGCAAAGGTTAATTTTGATAGTTCACGTGACCTATTAAAATGAATATTTATCATTCTTCTAAATGAAATATGCAATAAAGGACTAAAGATCTTGCTTCTTCTGAATTCTGTGTATAGACTTAGGCCTCAGAAGATCTCTCATAGTACGTATGTTGAAATGACTTTTGAATTTGTAGGAATCCTAGCAAGTCTCATATACGACATACAATACCCAGTGCAGAAAGGGGACCTGGGCTTCTAGACAGTCCTACAATATTCAACTTTTCTGCTGATCGTTTAATCAATGGCGTCAGGAGTCCACAGACGCGGCAGCCGGGACAAAACAGGACACGGATGCAGAATGCTACTACGAGTTATACCAAGAGGGAAGTAGGAACTGGACGGATGGAACAGACCAGCGTCGACTCGCCTCCCGGATTAGGTAGAGGAAGGTGAGTGTACTCTGTAGTTGTCCTCTGGACAACCTGGTATTGCTGCTTCTAAACTACTTTTAGTAAAGAGGTATGGGACTAGTACGGTTCTCATTACTATTTTAAACTGAGACTGTCTCTCCTCAAAGCTAAAATCTTGGAAAGTACTTCAGAGAAAGTGCTAAATATAGAACAAATACAAAATGGACTTGCATACCTTTCTACCAAATGAAAATCATTAATGGCAACTGATGAACAATTTATAGCCATAAGATCTAATCCTCTATCCTTTCTTCATCTGTTGTAAGAAAGTTTTTGCATATTATTTGTTTGACTTTAATGAAGCAGTTCTGCCCATTCCATTGTTCAGCAGTGTAGATTGTGCACCTGAACCTGTACTAGCAGTGCTCATTGTTAATTTTTTCAGTTGAAAGATCAAAATTTTGCCCAAATTAGACATTTACAACAACAAAGATGATGGATTGGTATGGAGGGAGGAAAAAGGATTACATGCAACTAAGAAAACTATTGTTACACAGTTCAAAAAAAAAAAACAAACCACCTGGGGAGCTGAAAATTTGTGGCATCAATATTAATGTGAGAATTTAGCAGGCTTATCTTGGAATTTTTTTAATACAGTACAGTTCTAATAAGTGCTTTATAAAAGTACTGTGCAGCTTTGTTTAATGATGGTTGTGTTTCTGTCTGTAAGTAAATCACATTTTGAGTGACTTACTGAATTGGAAGATAACTTGAGTCTTTGCAGGTGATCCTATATTAGACTTGTATTGTATCACTGCAAAATTAAGTGGGTATTTTGTGCAAGGATTGTAATACTTTTCTAAATCTAATTTGCCAAATTGTGTTATAACTAGTGGATGAAAGTATGATTAAGGACATAGGAAGCACGATTGCTCAAACTATAGACTACAAAAATGTACAGGAATAGTCAGTACTTAGATTTATATTCTGATGTTTCTGTATTGAATACATTTAGAAGATTAGAAGTCAAACAGAAAACTTAGGAAATATATTGAAACCAAGTTAGAATGCATTGCAAATTTTAAACTGTTGCTTGGAGGGGCTTTACCTGAAGCAGGCAAGGGGGAGAAGCGCTGAAAATGTTTTGGAGGGGCTTTACCTGAACTGAAAATAGTTAGCCATATTTCAAAAGTTACATAGCTATATTAAAAAAAGACTAAAACCTTTACTTTGGATATTGAAAGGTTTTGTCTAAGCCCTATGTGTAATCAGCACTGAGATGCTTTTAACACAGGAATTACTTGTAACCAGTGTATTCTTATGCTGACTTGTGTAAGATCTGTACCTTTATTTTAATGAGAGCTTGCTAGAAATTCTTCCCTAAAACATTTTTTTTTTAATAACCTGTCTAGAATGAAGGTGGATGAAATAGCAATTTGAATTAATTTCTCCTGTTTTTACCGACTGCCTTCCATTCATTTATAGGCAAGGTTCTGATAACTGTTTTCATTCCCTTAGGAAAAACTCATATGGCTACCGGAAGAAAAGGGAGGACAAATTTACAGTAAGTGTTCATGATCGTATTCCTCTAGATTAAAAGTAGGGTAACAAGGCGATAGTATGGATGTTATGTGGAGTAGCAGGTGAGAAGTAATTGCAGAAGCAATTGTATGTCACAGTTGACTGAAGACAGCAGCTCACTAGAGTCACATGAGTTTACTGCATTTGGGTATCAGAGAAGATTGTCCATTAATGCAGAAGTCAGGAAAAAGTTAAAATTACTCTTTTATGGTAGCAAAAAATTTCCATCTTCATGGTACTTTGTCAGCATGCCAGTATTCATGTTCAGAGAGAGCTAAATAACTAAGCTAAAGTTCAAAACACTTGATACTTGATTATTACTCATGTAGACATTGAAGAACATTTTACAGATCTGTGTGTCATAATGTATAGCTAGAATGTTAGTTATTAAGTGGTCAGTTCTGTTTCTTAAATGGCTCTCCAAGTACCACTCGGTAAGGGTATACTAACACTATTGAAATATTACAGTTTTGGTAAACTTAAATTCAAGGTGAATGCCTAAATAGCCTTGACACTTGAAAAGGCTGGACTAGACACTATGTAGAAGAAAAAAAATGTAATTTTTTTGTAGGACTTAAGGTTTGATTTGATAAAACTAGACGCTTCTCAGCAATTCATTTTTGCCACGCATGGCATGTTCATGAAATTGAACCGGATTATTGCCTTATTCTTGTTACAATTGCAAAGTAACCCCACTGCATGAGCCATAAAACTTTCTTAAAGGTCTGGAATCGTTGCATTTGTGTATTTGTGGCTCCTGCTGTTGAGTAGCCTTAGGGGACTTGGATAAAGGAGCATCAAGGTTTGGAAAGCATAAAACGACAAATGGTTCCTTCCCTTTGGTTGCTTTTAGCTCTTGTCAAGCTTCTCAAAGCTCAGTGAGAGCAGATTACATGTAGGATTCTCAATACTTCTTTTGCCTTTTCAAAGCTGCTTCAATTTTTAGATTTGATGTTTTCCTATCAACATTTTTTTCTGTCTTTGAAAGAACAGGGAAGTGGTACAAGTTAGGTCTATAAGTGAGTGGCTGGAGTGAAAAGATTACCTTGGACACTCTTACTGAGCAGAGAGGCTTTTCCAATGCAGCTGACTTTAAAGGTTATTTTAACTTTGAATGTAAAACTGGTAGATGTGACTTCTTTGGAGACCTACGGTTCCCCTCTCTCAGCACCAGGCTTTAATTGCAGCCTGTGCAGCCTTGTTCCTTCTAGTCTCTTCTGGCCCATGAATCTTTAGTCTGTACTGTCCGGTGATGCAACTTGAACAGAGGTGAGAGCTGCTGCACACCCACAGCTGTGTACACTGGGAAGGAGCGTACTCTGAAGTGAAAGATGAAAATCTGACCCCTTCAGACTGTGGAAATAATTGAATCCGGGATCCTATTTCTTGTGTGATGCTGTAGTGATTAGATAGTGTACATAGGACTTCACTACAACCAGTTGTATTTGAATGGAGTGATGACTTCTTTCGAATTTTTTTTTTTTAAGAGGAAAAATTAGAGAGTAGGCATGCTTGCATGAGAGAGAGCATGAACCTTTTTGATCAGATTGTATCTGGGGCTATAGACATAAGCCAGTTAACTCAACTTGTCATAACAAGTTGACTTGAGAAATTTTATGCAGTTGGCAGCTTAAAATGCATTTAAGTCCTCCCTGGTCTCACTAATTTAAGATGTTAATGCTGCTTGTTTCTTAGTATGTTGGGTTCTTAGGACTCATCTGTGTAACTTAAAATGTTTGTAATAGATATGAAAGCATTATCTATTGCAGGACTTCAGTCCCCTTTAAGAATACTGAGTGCTGTGATTTGACAAACTGCTCTGAAGAAAAAAAAAAAAAGGTTGTTTCTCCTGCAGTTTGAGCTGGATAAGCTAGTCTCTCTCCATGACCCTCTGACAGGTCATCTGACTTCTATTTTTGGAGGTTTGCAGCCTCCGTTGCTGTAGCACTCGTAAACTGTATTCTGGGGGGGTAATGCTGGGTCAGTAGCAGTCCTAGGAGCTGTCGTTGTTCTTGCCTCTGTATTTATTCTTTCCCTCCTTCCCTCTCAACACACACTTCTTTTGACATAAACTATAGTTGTGAAAAGACCTCGAGGGTAGTTTTCTATCTGTTGCTCTTCATGAGAAGGAAGGGGAAAAAACAGTAAGTAATGCAACACCTTTCTGTCCAGAAGCATTGTTCTCACATTCAGACATCTTGGCTATATACCCATAAATATTTTCCTTTTCAAAATAAGAATCAATAGTTGCATTTAGCCCATTGATTTTTTTTTTTCCTTTTTTGCCTGGGATATTGTTTTTCTTAGATTTAGTTAGCAATTTAGTCTTCCCTGGTCTCACTAATTTAAGATATTAATGCTACTTGTCTCAAAGATTGCTTTGTATTTGGTATTCTGCAGCAGAGGTCATCTTAGCACAGGCCTGAGCACAGTCATGAAACAGTTAGTTCTTTGTTTAGATGATGTAGATGAAGTTAATGGGTAACTCCAGTTACAGCCTATTACAAAAGGAATTTTATTTTTTCAGTGTGAATAGAATTTAGCGTTACAAATCAGTACAAGTGGTCCTCACAAGTGATCTTTAACTGTGGTACTCTTAACTCCTGAACTGCTGTCTGTAGTGCAAAATAGTTGCATTTAACCCATTGATGGGTTTTTTGTCTGGGACATTGTTTTTCTTCTCAGATTTAGTTAGGAAAATTCTCACTGTTTCAAAAATAGTTTTGACATTTATCTTTGCATTTTTACGACGTGACCATATAAATTCATATTAATTAGATGAAAATTGCCATTGTCTACACCACATGCAAGGCATGCTGTCTTGCCATTTCTTAATATATCTGAACATGATACAAGATTCTTGTTGACTCCTGTGTTTCATTTAGAATGTTACCAACTGCACATAAATGGGCTTTATATTTTCACTATATCGTGACACGTAAACCTAAAAGTCTGTTTTTCTTTCTATGTCAGTGTAAGTGTCCATCCTGAAGGAAGGGTCAGTGAGAAGACTTTTCTTACTATACTAGTATCACTAAAGCTTATGCATGTGAAATTTTTAAGGATGCTTATGCCATCCCATTTAAATAATAGTTAAATATTTTAAGGACAACAGTGGAAAATGAAAGCATCTGCTCCTCGGTACTGCATGGTTTTCTTGGGAGGTGGGATGGGGGAAGCCTCTCTAGGGCTTCACAGATATAACTCAAAAAAAAAAATACAGTTTAAAGTCCCATGTCTTCCTTTTCTGTCATCCAGTGCAGTAACCTCAGCATGTTATTTCTATTCCAGAGAGGCCAAACACAGTCTCCACCACCCCCAAAACCTCCATCTCCTAGCTTTGAATTGGGTTTATCTAGCTTTCCTCCATTACCTGGGGCTGCTGGCAATTTAAAGACCGAAGACCTTTTTGAAAACAGACTGTCCAGTGTGGTAATAGGAACGTCAAAAGAAAGAGTGAGTAGCCAGTATTCATTTTTGTTGGGAAAACAAAGAATTGCATACCTCTTGTTTTCAGATTTCGTGGCTTATATGTAGAAAGAAACTTATGGTTTTACCTGGGTCATAAGAAATGCTTTCAAAAAACAGCTGTCAAATCATGTGCTGCTGCCGCCTTCACTTATATCTTAGAATTTGTTGGGTATTCTCTTTGAGATGGTGTGGAATATGAGCAGCAGAATAAATAGACGTTAATAGCAGAGGTTAGAAAATATGCTCTTTGCTGTTCATAATTGCCTCAGGCTTTTTGATAGACTCAGGTGAAAAGTATGTGATAAATTTTCCTTCTCTTTGAAAGTCAGATTGCTGAGTTCTATATAAAACACTTGAAAGTGACAGGGACAAACTTTTAAGCACTGAAATATAAAGAAGCTGCCTACATAATCTCAGTACACTAGGCATCATAGCTGGAACAAGAACTGTTACCAAAACCAGCTGGATCCCAGCGTTGTCTTGCCATATTGCTTGGAAAGATAAAAATATACCAGAATGACTTGGCAACCACTGCTTTCTAGATGTAGTAGAGATGCAGTTGAAAATTAATGTTCAGTAGCTGTTCATAATTTCATTCTTAGGACAGTCTCTACCATGCCATCTGTGAGTGACATCTGTGAGTGACAGTACGTTCTCCTCCATCATATAACCCTGTGCACTATGGAACAGTCTAGGCTATGGAAGTCTGTATTGGCTTTTTTTGCTAGCTCTAATTTAACTTGTGTTTTTCTAGCTGTGCCACAACTGAAGAAGTTAACCCCTGGATATAGCAGTGCAAAGCATCCTGATGAAACACCAAAATCTCTCTTGTGTCTCCTCTCTAAAACCAGTCTATTGCAGAAGTGTTTTCTTTGGTGCCCACGTATCAGGGGTGGGTAGGGAGGGTATTTGTTGGTAAAGGAAAGAGGAAGCGGCAGGGCAGCCTGCACCCGAAGCAGTGATTGCACAGACAAGCCACCTATTCTGTCTCCTGCAAGTGGTAATAGGGACAGCTACATTCCAGGGTTGCGTTTAGGGCGAATGCACAGGACGGTGCCATGATAAGAGCAGTGTTTAACTCGCTGTCAGCCAGTACTCCAGACTGTAGTCTGTTCTTGGCCAAGATATCTCTATTTTTAAAGTATTTTACCTCTATTATTTCTGAAGTGTTTTTTGACTATCAGATTTCAGGTTTTAAATATAATTCCAGCACTTGCTATTGATACTGCAGCTGAAAACCCACTGCTCCTCCGATTACAAATCTAGTACTTGTTTTGCACTGTACTTCCTGTAAGGAACTTACACTTCTCCCCTGTAGAGGCAGTCTTAATATCAGGCACTGAGGTTTTATGATAGTGCAATGCATTGTCACGTTAAAAAGCTTCCTTTTGATTTCCCAATTTCTTTTTCCAGCTTGCATGAGTTAGTCTGTACCATTGTGTGGAAGAAAGGGATTGCACCGTCTTTCCTTGTTGGCATTAATAAGGAATAAAATAACAGTAACTGGCTCCAAAGAGCGATTGTGTTCTACTACAAAGGTGTTTGAGTTAACATTAGTATCTTGCCAATGTATACAGGCTGCTTTTCACCTTGATCTCAACATTTTTTCATGTCACCTGATGTAGAGCTATGAAGTGCTGAAGTAGAGTTACACAGTGCTACTTTTGTTTTATAGGTGGGCAAGTCTGGTGTACAGAAGCTGAGTGAACTTAGGTTGTATAATTTCCAACAGTTGTTATCCAAGCATCATACCTTTATGCTCTTTGCTTTGTTGTGCTCTTTTATATGTAGCTCTGGGGAATGGCAGGTGTTAATCATTCCACATTTTCTAACTAGGAAACTGCAGTGCTGTCAGATCAGGGACTGAGTGTTTTGGCCTAGGAACAGCACTTGCATGTCTGCTTGACTTGAAGCTATTCACACTTAACCATGTACCTACAAGTTTTGATGAACTTAGGCCAGAATGCTCAGCAACTTGCAGTTTCAAGCCTTTGCACGCTATTATAGTGAGTAAAACTATAGAAGCTGTTCTTTCATTTCTAAACATCCACCTTTTATGGTTTTACTTTTACTTTGAGTAAAACTAGGCTTAAATCTACTGCAGTGATCTATGCTGCCCGATTTAAAACAATGTCATCAAATACTATTTTCCTTTCTAACAGTGACCACAGGAGTCTCACGTTTTATGACCTTTGAACGGTGGCTGTGTGGGGGAAAGGGGTGGCTATCTTGTTCCTTCTGTGCTTGTGTTCTCCCATTGCTCTCCCTTCTGCTTACCAGAATCTGTTCTGGTTCTAGAGTTAGACAGGTCAGAAGCAATACAAAAAACATCGCACTTCTTAAAACAAACAAAATGGTTATAAATGTCAGAAATATGTTTTTCAAGATACAAAGTCTTCTTTCTCTTTTCTTATTTTGTGACAATTTAAATTCATGTGTGCATCTTGCATCTATTTGGCCTTTATCTGGAAGCACAGTATCACCTGGCACTAGCAGAATCTTTTGAGGGCTGTGGAAAAAGCCTCTTTTGCTTGATAGCAAATCACACTAGAGGATAAGAAAGGGACTTTTAAATGGTGGTCATATCCTAGTTTGCAAAAACTTCTGGGTTTTTTTTAAGCTTAGGTGTTTTTTAGTACCAGCTATTGGCATGATGCAGAATTAGAGCTTTGAAGAAGACAGTTCTTAGTGGATAACTCTAGGAGACTTCTGTCTTAATAGGCTGACTACAGTTATGTGAACAGGCGCAAAGCCCTCTTTGTCACTAGCAGGTGCAAAATTCCCAGGTTGAAAGAAGGGATTTTGTCATCCAGCTATGTCCCAAAGGGAACTAAGCTTCCAACTTTTTGGTAAAGAGCCACAATGTGTCATTTATTTGTCTGTTTGTAAATAATTGTAAAGGAGAAAACTCATTTGTTACAATACATATATTGGATCCTTCTGTATCTTCCTGTAGTTAATTTACCCTTATAAATCAACTTGTAAACTGTTTCCCGATTGTGTTAATTTTCAGGCAAACCATATTAATTGGATATTATGATTGCCCTTCTGTGCCTTTTTTCCTCCTTCAGAACATTAATGTTGATGCAAGTACAAACACTATTCCATCGGGAATTCCTCGAGAGCCGTTGTTGCCAGTTTCTTCTACATTGCCCAGGACATTTGAAAGGTCTCCTTCGCCATCCCAGTCTTCTGAGTAAGCACTTAATTACATGGCTATAATTATTCTGTTCTGAATCACGTTTGCATTTTCTGTCATAAGAAGGCTAGGTGGAACACTGTAAATAGCTATTAAAATCTTAATGAAAGAAATAATATTTTGCTGTATATTGTACTTGTAGTAAAGGCAATAAAGCTTAATTTCTGAACAATATCGTAATAGTGATTCAGTCATAATAGTCATTCAGCAGACAGAAGTTTAGTGTTGTGTTTTAGTCTCTGCAAGTATTTAAAAGTTTTAATGAATACCTTACTGTCTTGTATTTAGATAGCTTTGAAGCATAGAGAGTAAACCCAAGATCCTGTAGGCAGTACCATTGTCCATACAATAAAGTTTTCAGTAAGACTTTATTTGGAACCTGCAAATCAAATCGAGGTGTTTGAGTAACAGGAGTAAGATAACTGAATAACCAAATGCTATCAGAATGTCACAAATTACGGCTACTGTCAAGTTCCACAGGAGTATCTTTTTTTAATATTTGATAGCATTTTTAAATGCAATGCTTGTCGTAATGTGCTAGGCAAACTGTAGCTATAACTTCTTATAGTCAAATAAAGTTTTAGACCCATTATTAGATAATTCATCTAATCCTGAAGTTTCACTTTTCATGAGCCTTGCTTCCTGCTGGATGCTTACAGGGACTCCAAGGTTGTGGATAAACAGCAGAGAGAGACACAGAGTACAGAAAGGCTTTCTTCTTCCACACTCAGTACTGCATGTAAATCGGTACAAGTCAATGGGGCTGCCATAGTAAGTGATCTTATTACTTCACCTTGTCTTAATGATGCAGTTTGATGCATTTAACAGAATATTGCTTCCATTGCTACCCAGTGTTACTTAATCATGTGAGCCCAGCATCCTTAAATTTGTATGTTGGTGGCCTCATGATTACTTTCATGATACAATTATGCAATTAACAGTGCAAAATTGTTCAAGATAACTTGGTGAATGATAGCTCTTTATCTGAATTCTCTTCTTGGTAGTATCCTTGAGGTAGAAGCATTAATACATATGTTGATATTTAAATTGTCATTAATGAAGAGTATTCATTGTCTTTCAGCTGTTTTAGAGTTTGCTTGAATTGGAAGTATTTTGTCCTATCACAGTATCCCATTTTTCTGGCATACTGTTTTGCATTTTACCTCGTCTTGAACCTTATTGTCTGTACAGCTTCTGTAAACTTCAAACTCAAGCCCTCATCTGCATATTTGAATGCAGCAGTCTTTTGGGACAAAGACTTTACCTTTTTTGTTCATAAAAGTAAATATTTTTCTTCAGGATGCTTTGTTTATCTCTGATGTCCTGTTTGCTTTTGATTTCACAGGAACTGCGAAAACCTAGTTATGCAGAAATTTGCCAGAGAACAACTAAGGATCCTCCTACATTGCAACCCCAGAAAGAACAGAAGCCAAACACTGTAGCATGTGGGAAAGAAGAAAGAAAGCCCACAGAAACAATAGAAAAAAACAGAGAACCTCCTCCTGCAAAGTCACATCCTGGACAACCCAAAGACCAGAGGAGACAGTCAGGACGCAGATCGTCCCCTCCAGCCGTTGGCAAACGCTTAAATAAAGAACAGAATACCCCTCCAAAATCTCCTCAGTGAAACATAACACCTGGGAGGGATTCGAAAAGAGGTCTGCTTCCCACAAATTAAACCCATGTTCCCACTAAGATACCTGAGAATGAGTTGCTGGTTAGGAGCTTGCAGTGATACTAGGCATATAACAATGCCTGCAAGTTATTTTTCTGTGAAATACTTTTTCCCCTCTTGAACAAACATTCTATTTTTTCTGGATATTTCTGGATAGTTGTTCTAAACCTTACATTTAGGTTGGTGCTTAATTGGAGGTGAAGCTTAGTGTGATTATTTTTTTCAAGATGTAAAATATTTGTCTTTAAAAAAATCAACTTTTTATTAAGCCTCTCTGTGGCTGTGTGAGTGCAAGCTCTGTATAGTGAGTTTTTTCTAAACTGTTAAGCAGAAATGTGCTGCTGCAATATTTTTAATAAACTGGTCTGCAAGTACATATCTAAAGTGTCCAAAAGACTGATAACGGCAGCTAGTGTGTAGAGTGCAAGGAAGTAGATATATTTCACGAATTAGTATGTGACCTTGAAGTTTTTTTTTTATTGGGCTGCTGTACTAAGTGTCAGCAAATGAACTTGCACTTTTAGGTTAAACGAGTAGTTGTTTCTAGCGTTTTTAAAAATTTAATCTTTTTTTGATGTTTTGCACACACAAAATGAATCCTACGGAGCACCATAGCAGTCATTCTAAAATATTTCCTTTTTTGACTTACTGCAAGCAAGTAACCATCTTCTCACTCCAGAATAAAACTGATGTTATAATTTGCAAATACAAAGCACATTGTGAATAGAAAGAATTAAGTCTGTGAGCTTCTATGGTGGTGAAGCCTGTTAGTGGATGTTACCAGGAGAAAGCACTGTAGCCGCCTTCTGATAACCTTAGCTTCCCTGTGCTTGTAAGGGAGTTAACTGAGTCAGCGCTGTATGTTCTGGTTACCCCTGTGCTCTGTGTAGACTTTTTTTTAAACTCTGCCCCAAGTGCTCTTTGAAAGAGTTCATATCTTAGTCAGCCTTGTGTTGACATCTTCCTGTAACTACAAGCATTGGCATACGGATTTAAATTTTTCAAGACGTGAGATAATGGTGTTTGTTTTGTGTGGTGGAGGAAGAGATCCCTGATATTTACCTCTGGGATGAGGTTTCTCACAGTTATTTACTTTAGAAGTGATGCGCTTTCTGAAGGACAAGGATGCACTAAATTAGCAAGTTTCTAATAAAGTTGAATATAAATTATTTTTGTTTTAAAATGCCTAAAGTTTTTCTTTAAGTGTTTAAACTGCAGGAAGTTCTGCTGACTATGACAGTACAGTTTATTCCACAAAAATGTTTATTTAAACAACTGATTTTTTTAAAGAATTATTTCCATCCAATATTTAAAGACTTGAATTTTATTTAAACTTGAAAATGACTTTGCCTTAACTTTTGTACAAGACAGCTTAGAGTTAATGAGGTCTGACCCCGTGGAGGGTTAGCATGAGTGGAATACAGAATTACTCAGTTACAGTATGTATCTATTGTCACTGGTCTTACTGGGTAAACATACTGTAGTACAGGAACTAGCAGCAGTTTTTGTAATATACCTTAAAGATCTTAAACAGTTGATCTTTTTCAGATTGTTGAAAAACCTGTAAATGCAAATAGTCAATACTGTATTAAATATGTGCACTTGGAAGTGTGTGCTTTGCTTGTACAGTTGTAAATAATCAGAACATATAAAAAGGTACCCTAAAGAAAAAATCTGATAAAAATTATTGATATTATAAATGTTGCTGTTGAGCTGGATGTAGATAAACTAAATGTTGTGGTTTGAATATTACTTTAATTTGTTGTTTTTTCTTTCTCTTATTTTATTCTGGTGTGCTGAACTGACTCTGCCTCTTCACTGCAAAAGGGAAATGGAACGAAAGTCTTATTTGAAAGCCCTCAAATATTTTCCTAAGTCCCTCTAAAAACAAGCGATTTAACCAATTCAAAAGTGTTCTGCAGTGTAAATAGTGAATTTCAGCAGTCGAACTGTAATTTTAAGTCATTAATAAAATCAAATTTAATTGGAAAAAGACTTCAGACTGCTACAAAAATATACACTGAAGCTTACTTGTCTGCTTTCAAGAATATCAGTGCTTTCGTTAGTGTACGATTCATAGAACCGTAAAGTAACTATAGAAGTTGACTCCTGACAAATTTCCTGTTAAAAGCATCAATTGGTAACTAGTTGACCTTTTAAATCCAGCCTGTTGTATGCTGCAGAATTGGTCAAAATAGGGCATGCTGGAATCTGTTGATTTTTCTTGTTTAAAAAGCGCACTTGTGAATGCTGTGGGAGGAGATAGGACTCTAACAACATCACTAAAACTGCTCGACTAGTTCTGTCATTGGATTTTTAATATGCTTCTCCTTTCCCCAGTGGCAGTGAAAATGGTAGCTAGAGTTGTGTATGGTTTAGGCCAGCTGTATGATTCGTTTTGTTTGTCTGCTGCAAGTGAAAGGCTTACCAGCTGCAAACAACCACAAGTGGTTCCTTACAACGACTGTGTACAGCTAGTCACAATACTCAACTGGTACCTAAGGTAATATATTGAGACCAGCGGGATGTGTTGTGCTGTTCTAATGTATTCTGCTGCCATTTGTGCTAGGTCAATACACTGTAATTACTGCTTACCCAGCAACAGTCTGTTGCATCGAAAGTTTAAACCTTCCTCTGATGTGGTTTTTATAGCTTTTTTTAAAAAGAAAAAAAGTGACACGCCAAATAGCTGTGTAATATACAACTTATCCTTACTGCATTTTACTTTGAGATTCCCCCCCACCCCACCCCCACTCAGTGACAAAATGGAGTTTTCGGAGTAGAGTTGTGAAGTTGCATGCAGACTGTTGCTACGATACATAGAGAGATTAAAATGTGGCTTTTAAAATGAAAAACCTCCCAAAAGCAGTAGCTGAGTTAAAGGTTCAGGGATACAGTAACTAAAATTGGCATTTTACCTTGTAGGACTGTGTGGTGATGCTTTTCAGTTTGAAAACAAGTCAAAACGGGATCTGAGACTCTTCTTCCAGGAATTTAAAAAACAAAGGTTGCTTTTAAAACTTTATATTGTTTCAGGTCAGGCCCCCACCATGACCCTGTCATTTGCCACTTAGAAATCTAAGTGGCAAACTTAGTGAACCGTGGCAAATTTTTTATGTTGCTGCATTATCCTTCAAAGACTTCAGCAGTTGGCTTAGAAAGGCCCTTGTTCGAGTGTGGTGCAGTGTATCACGAGCAACAGCTGACTGTAATGGTGCATACCTATCTCTGTATCTCCTTCAGCTAGCTACAGTTAGGGATTTTTATGTGCTTTGTAACCTATTACACTAATAGCAGCAGACAATCGAAGATTTCTAAGGAGACCTAACAGCTGCCAATTCATGAAATAGAAGTGTAATATGGGAGCCTTCTTGAGGGTTTTTGTTTTTGTTCTTCTTCCATTAAGACTGGAATCAAGCTTACATGTAAACTATCAGTAATTTAAGTTTCCTTTTGTGTCATAAAATGTAAAACTGTCTAATTTGAAAAAAATATGTAGGTTATGAAAAATAAAGATTTAGGCACTGTTGAATTCCTGATTTTTTTAATTAAACCTTTCTTCAGCAGTATTTTTCATTACCTTTTGTCTTTTGCTCCCATTTTTGGAAATTGTATATTTCTGATTTTGGGAAAAAAATCTTTGCTTGCTTTATTGTTCAGCACAGCTGTTATAACCATCACCTAAGGCTATGTAGCAGCGGCAAGAACACCTATAATATAACTCTGAAGGCAGCATTATCTATTAAGTAACTATGACTGTTAACTTTCTTTAAAACAAACAAAAAAAGCTGATGTGATGTTTTGTTTACTAGAGGTTATCATCTTTATTAGTGGTTTCCTCAAATTATTAGATAAGGTGTTGGCTTGGTCTTAACCCAAATGTTAAAATCCATGTTTAGTGCTTTGGTTGTATGGCTCTTGAATCCAGAGATGTGCTGGGATTATTTTTGGCCTTGGCTGGTTTTAGAGGTTATCCTGGTCATGCTTCTAGGAAAGAAGAACTTCTGGGTTATCCCCCCCTCTAAGTAAAAGACCTATTTTGGAAATACTTGAAACCCTTTTTTGGTTTTTTTTAGGTTTGTGTCTCATTCAGGTGTGTCTGACCAAGTTTAACAATGGATGTAAGCATGGAAGTATTAACAATTACTGTGTTTTGTAAGCATCTTGGGAAATATTGCAGTATTATTCTTCAGGCTGGATGTTCTGTAAGCTTGTGGACAGGTTAGGCTGCTTGCTGCTTTATTTCCCCACTACTGTCTGCTCAACAGGAATACCAGCATATACTGAGCACTGCAAGTTTCTCCATGTTAGAAGAGTCAGTTAAACATTAGGCTTTGGTGACATGGACTACAAATAGTTGAGGACAACCAATTTTCACTTCAGCATGGAGTATCCCGTTCTGCCCTTGGAACTCAGTTTTCTATTACTTAATGTGTAAAATGCGTGGAAATTTGTCAGCAATGTTGCCATAATCCTAGTGTGGCTCTTCAGGACCACCCCAGCTTTGGCAGAAATCAGGGATTTGTTTGTTCACGCAATAAAATTGGGCAGTGTCCCCTTTGTGCTAGTTTTCCCCAATACAAAGTGATGTTTGATGGCTGCACCAATGTTCATATTGAACAAACTCTTTCATTTCCTCTTGGGCATGAGGAGAAATAGTGAATATGCAATTGAGTATCCGGAGGTTACTTATTGTCCCAGAAACTGTGACTCATTGCATTTTGATCCTAAGGCTTCTTTAGAAAAAAAGATTTCATGAAGTTTTAAGTTTTCTGATATGCTTTTACTTCACAAACCTCTGGAAGTTAAAACCTCCTATTCAGCTGGTTATCGTGGGTGGGCTTTTATGAGTGCAACTGCTTAAGTCAGGGAAATGACTGAATCTCAAATTTTGCTGGTTTATAGGTGGAAGTAACGTTACCTACTTCATCTCTGCATTTGAGAGAATAAGCTGTATAGCAGTATAGAGCCCTGGTGCCATCCAGTTATAGTAGCTCAGTTACTGCAACATCCATTCTCAGCATGGATATACATCTTTCATATGTTCAACTTAAGTTGATCAAACAGAAATTTGCTCCTATTGAAGTGATGCATTGGAATACTGTTACTGAACTGTTAGGCCAAATAAGCACAAAAATGCTGTGAAGAGGCTGGCCTGCCTGAGCTGTGCCATGACCTTCCTTTCTGTCGGCTCCCTCACATCATCAGCATGCTGGCCTGTCTGAAAAGTAACGAGAAAGAGGGTTTTTTGGAGTAAGTCAGAAGCTGTTGTTGTACCATCAGCAGCATGGAGGAAGAGGCAGGAATACGCAGTTGGCGCCCACAGGGGACTGGCGTGGTAATGGCCGTGGCAGGGACAGTGTCTTACATCAGCCGAAGCAAACTAAGTATTTGTACAATTAGCTTACGAAGAATGGAAGGTCTTGGCTTAAACACAGCCTTGCTCGTGCTTATGTTTGTGTTGTGTTGTCCTAGCTCAGGTGAACGTGGCTCAACCCATTAAGCTAGCTTGGTCATTTTTGAGCCTTATTTTCACAATGGAAAGAAGAAGGGTCTGGTTTTTGCTTTAGCCTTTTTGGTTATTCTTATGTACAAGCCGTAAATGTGCTAAATCTTAGTTTATCACCATGAGACAGATTTATCAGAAGTCTTTGTGCATCGTCCTGTCACAACTGGTTTGGGAGCAGTTCACTGTTTTGCAAAATGTGTATGTGCTGGGGGAAGGGAGTCTAAGATAAAATCACCCCCTAATGTCTCTTAAATTCTCATCAGCCTGAAGAGCAAATTGCTTTGTGTGCTTGTGTTACGCACGTACAGTGTGGAAACCATCCTGCAGTCTGATAGCTTTACATCCCATTTACTGTAGGCAGGCAGTTGTCTGCAGAGTGGTAAATCTACCATGGCTAAGGATGCTCTGAGGAAGGAGGGATAAAAGGATGAATTTAGAGTTGTAAAACATACCGAAGCTGGGAAGCTCTATGAAATCCACATGGATGGAATTACTGGTATCTAATAAAATGTCTCCAATGCCTTCCAATACTGGAGCCCAAGTCGTATGTATCCTCTCCGTGCAGTGTGAGATGTCCGCCCGGGCAGAACAA